TATCTTTTCCCCCCCCCCCCCCCTCTGAATGAAATGAACCCTGGGGTGCCCTAATATGCAGATTTTCCTGGCTGGCTAATCCCCTCCCAGAATGTTTTATTGGACATTGAGTCCACCTATCAATGAAGATCCAGTAGGGAGTTGCAGGATGGGGTCGGCTAGCCATTTTTTTTCCTAGTAAAAGGTATAGTTTGCATATTAGAGCAGGTATGTGCAACCTGAATTAAAGGTGGTGGGTCTCTGCATTTTATTCAGGCTGTCATTTTACAGATTTTTTTTCCTTAAGAGTAGAGTGGATAATTTATGGAAATGTATAATGCAATTTTAAAAAAGATTAAATCAAATTTAGTATAACTTATGATTTGCATATTAGAGCTGGTATGTGTAAAATGGCACCCTGAATTAAAGGTGGGTCCCTGCATTTCATTCAGGCTGTCATTTTACAGACTTTTGCCTTAAGTGAAGTGTGCATAATTTATGGAAATCTATAATACAGTTAGAAAAGCAGGTTAAATCAAATCCGGTCAGTGAGGTGAACAGAATATTCATTTATGCCATTTGCACTGAATTATATGTAGCCATGCAAAGTTAGGAGTTTTAGGATTTTATTGACGGCAATCACAATGAAATCTAAACGTACCTACTGATTAATTCATCTTTTTGTAGTGATTATAGTTCAATTTTATATAAATTTTTTTTCCTAGGGACAAGGAGTTGTTCGGGAATGGTTTGACATATTGTCTTCTGAAATTATCAATCCTGATTATGCCCTTTTCACACAATCAGCAGATGGTAGGTAATCAGAAACCATTAAAACAAGCTAAAAATCACTCTGTGGAGATTTACATGCATGAGATGCTTTATACCAATCCACCTTTGCACTTCAAACAATTGAGGAAATGTGCTGACACATTTCATTTAGATATCTGCTTAAATTCTGATATCTCTTCCCCAGCCTTATTTTAAATTAATGATATGTTTATGGATTTTATAATATGCTTTGGTTCACCTATTATGTGGGCAGGACTTCCTAGCATGCATTGCTTCTATCTCAAGGCTGCTGTCAGGCACTGTGTATTTTACTGTAAACTACAATATTTTTGGATGATTCCAAGAAACATTTTGTCCTTGAAGAATACATAAAAAATATGATAAGTTGAAAATGTTCTCCTGGAGAACTCGGGCAACTAAGCTCAAAACACAAATTGAATTGTGTGAAGAAAACACTAAAGCCATGCAACCTTATTCACAAGTACCCATCATTTATTAAAATAGTTAATTTAAGCCAAGTGTTTTCACTAGCACTGAAGTCCCCTAGCTTGTTTTCACCAGCGCCGAAGCTCCTATAAAATCCTGGTATTTTTTTGAATGACGCATGACACTCCCCACATGGTCCTTCAGGGGGTGATTTATGATGGTGGGAGAGATCTGTAAAGGCAAGAGCAGGTACCTTATGGTTCACGTGCACATTTTAGGTGCAGAAAGGTCCATGCTTCCTCTCACCACTCCGTTGTTCCCATAGCCATTTTTTCTGTAGCTTCTTCTGGACCCAGCATCTTCTTTCTTCAGCAATTGAACGCTGGTGAAGGAACATTTCTTTCTAAGTGCTTTCACTAATAAAAACTCTAAGTAGTGTTCACATAAACCTTTCCCCACACACACACACACACACACACACACACACGCATCATCTTTCTGTACAATAGTACTGTGGCCCCATAATATATCTTGGTTATGTGTAGTAGTGTTCACCTAACCCCCCCCACAACACACAGACAACATTTTTCTCTACGTTAGTACTGTGGTCCCATATTCTATCTTGGTTATGTGAAACTAATTATTGTTTACTGCCCCTTTTAACGTAATGTGCATATGATTTTAATGGCATAAAAGTGATTGTTTTCCATCCTTTTCAACAGGAACTACGTTCCAGCCAAACAGTAACTCCTCAGTCAATCCAGACCACCTGAACTATTTCAGATTTGCTGGCGAGATTCTGGGACTTGCACTTTATCATAGGCAACTGGTCAACATTTACTTCACCAGGTCGTTTTACAAGCACATCCTTGGTATGAATACAAAGAATTTGGATAGCAATAGACGCTATTGAAAAACAGATTATTTGTTTTCTGTGATTTTTCTTAAAGGACTGCTAATACAAAAAAACGAATGTATTCTTGTGATAACTGTGTGGGGAAAGCGGGCTTTAGGATTTTGTGTGGCCGAAAGGTACTGCCCATTTTTTAACTTAATGCAGGGATTGCATTGAGGTAAAAAACGCCCTGCCTTTAGTACTACTACTAATAACATTACGTAGAAGGAGAAAGCTAAATAAGATGTTTCAATAAGTAAAAAGTAAGCAGCAGTTTTCAAATAGATTTTTAAGTTATGCTATGTGAATGGGAACATGTAACAACTATACTTAAGCACAACACAATATATTTTTTTAATGCCATGACTGAGAGTGATGGTTGGGCACCAGGAATGCATGCCAAATATTCAGAATTGTACATCAACTCTTAACAGTTTGATGTTTTAAACTGATAAAGCTTGGAATAGTCAAAATAAGAATCATACAACATTTTCTGTGTTATGGCCAGCTGTGTAAAATGTATAGTTTAGAGTAACATAAAAGCTCTTATTGTAAGTGATGGAAAAGGACTTGGTAAATGTGCTGCCATCCACTTCTTCCCCTGAAGAGGGCAGCATCATGCAAGAGATGCCTGAATTAGTGAATTGGATGAAAAGAACTCTCTCTCTTCCTAAATATCTGCATGCTTTTAATACTGCAGGTATCCCAGTAAATTATCAGGACGTGGCCTCCATTGACCCAGAATACGCAAAGAACTTGCAGTGGATTTTAGATAATGATATTAGTGACCTGGGACTGGAACTGACTTTCTCCGTGGAGACTGATGTGTTTGGAGCTATGGAAGAAGTGCCCTTAAAACCAGGAGGGGCCAGCATACTTGTTACACAAGAGAACAAGGTGAGTGATGAGATCAATGTCAAGATGTGCTTGTAAACTGTCTCTGGAAAGATACACTTCACGCTCTGATGTGAGCCAGAAAAGACAGCATTAACTCCACTGGGGTACGGTATCTGTATGGGAAATCCAATTGTTTGGAGTCTCTGCACTGCCATTATTCTGTGACATTACTAATCCATCATATTATTAACAGCACTAAACTGTTTTGTACGGTGACACCTGCGTGCAGGGACTGTTGATTGTAAGCAGTTGTAGTTTCATCCTAACTATAGCCATGCTGCTCATATTTTAGAATAAATGAAGGGCAGGCAGCCCTTCTGTTTCAGTATATTGCCTAGCAGTGCACTTAATGGTTTAGAAATGTCATGTTCTTTATTCTGGGTATCTCTGCAATGTCATATTGGGAAACTCAGCTTCCAATATTAATATTTCCTTTTAATCAGCAGCATGTTATCCCTACAGCACTCGGCGGCTGAAATTTATGACAGCTTCCTCATTTGTTAGCCGCGTTTAGCAGAAATCATATGCATTCCGTGTGACGATGCTCTTATCCATCATTTGTCACAAAGTGTCAGAGCATAAAAATGTTAAGATTCGGGTCCCTGACACAGTTTTAATTATGAACATCCATTTTGCTATGACAAATACACAGATGTACTTCGAGTAGGAAATCAGCCTTATGTTTCAGGAAACATTGCTTTTTTTAAGGGGGGGAAATATATTTATAGAATAATTTATAAGTGATTGAAGTGTTGCTTGATGTCGCACTTCAGCCATATCTTATGGTGTGTATATATATGCTGTTTTTTTATGTGTGCCAGTGTCGGGAACTGGCTGTCATCAATTTCTTGTCACATATAAAACATTGGTTGCGTTAAGGAAAATTTTGGCTGTCATCTAGGGAGATCGTGATAATTGCATTGTCTGACACAGATTAAAGAAATTCTGCCAGTTACAGGTCAGGCCAGAGTTGTTCTGGGAAGAAGAATGTAATGAATATTTAACAAACCACACACAATCATTTCACCAAGCAGAACACGCAGGAATGATGGTAAGACATAGCTGGTTTTTATAGGTGCGAAGAGCTTTTTCTGCAAACCATGCCAAGCTGAAGGAACGCCATTTTAAATCGTCCGTGCACAATTTGCGATGTTTTTGTTTTGCAGAATGTAAGGTTTACGGAAAAGCTATTTGGCTTTTAGAGCAGTAAACAGCACCATTAGAGACCTTGTAACTAAATTATAAAAGAATGTAAAAACATATTTTTTCACCTCCTGAAAGCTTGCGTTACGAAGCTGCATCTATCTATCTATATTCGCATGGCCCAGTTCTAATGGCATCACTGATTTAGAAAGGGCATTAGAGTAATGATTTGAAATGTTTTTCATAGCAACTATTAACCTGGACAACAAACAGCAGTGGCACACAAATGAATGTAAATGCAATGCGTGTTTCTAGTTTGTCTTGATCAGTTTCTAGGGTAACCAGCTAAAGGTTTTTTTTTTTTAACTTGCTAGACAGTATACCCATTTTTTTTCTTTATACTATTTTCTAAGGCTCATTGTAATAGTTGTAGTTTTTCTTTTACGTTTTTCCTCATGTACGTAGGTATTTTTACCTATAACATTTTACAATTTTGTGTCTCCATTTACCGTGTTGCTTCATTTATACTCTTAGCCTTAATGTTAGGTCTGTTCATTCCAGATGGCTGCCTGCACTATGCCCTTAACTCTCCCTCCTGCAAGTGTAAGGAAAACTGCTGTTCAACAGCGGACACACCGGTTTGTTTCCTGCCTGTGTTAGCACAATCCTTCATTCGTGCTGAGGGTCGCAGTGAAGTGCATTTCATTAGCTGCAAACAGCTTCTAAGTGTGTGTGGATATGAGAATTGCCATACAGGCCACTGCCTAAACTATTGCTTTGCATTCCAGCACACGTGCCATTAAAGATTCTAGAGCTCTATATAATGATTAAGGGCTTGTTCCCACATTGCATAGAAATGCACATACTGATTTATTTTCTTGTAATCTGTACAGCATAATATGTATCACCTTTTTTTTTTTTTTTTTAAGATCGGAGAGCTTTAAGAATTTTGGGTGCATTTTTTTTTCTTTTTTTTTGTTATATTATAAGTGCATACTTCTATTTATTTTCAAAAGAAAACAACACAGACTGTTTTATATTGTGATTTTTATTTTTCACATATATGACACATGTTTATTTATTTATTTAATATTTTTTTCACAATAATATTTTTTTCACATATATGACACATGTTCTTTGAAGATTTTTGTTTATTTATTTAATAAGGTTCATGTATGACACGC